GATCCCGGCGGAGCGGGGTCTGCCGGGCGGCGTCTCCCGCTGGTGGTTGCTGGGCTCTCGCGCTTCTGAGGGATGGGGTGAGGGGGGGTAGCGCTGGGTTGGTGGGTCCTTCCCGGGCGGTGGCGGCCCTGGAGCCGGTGGGCTCAGGCAGTGGCAGCACTGGGCTGAGGCTGGAGGAGCTCTTGGGGCAGGGTCTGTGTTGAGAAAGGGGATGCCGGGGCTCTGCGCCCGGGGGGAAGAGGTGCGGAGACCGGGGGAACTGTAGTCGTGACTCTTCCCGGGAGCGCAGCTGAAAGAGCTGGTGCGATTCTTTGCTGTCTGTGAAATATTAGCAGAAGCAGTATTGTCTTTACGTGTTCGTTCAGAGAGACCAACAGGAAGGTTTTACAGTTGCTATGAGGCTAGTTTGCAATTCGGGAAATACGCTTTGCCAGGGCAGATTTACTCTGAGTCTTCTCAAAGGTAGCTCATTCCTCTAACCAGAAGCGTGTTGCTGGGGAGGGGACCTTTCCTGGCTTGAAACATAAGTAGAATGTATTCTTGGTTGTGCAAGATTCATCTGTAAAGATCTTACACTTGAGAATATGCCTTGGCCATGTGGTTTGTGTTCTGAATGACAAGAAAATCTTGGTTTAATTGGAACATGCTGTTAGGCCAAATATGCAAGAAGTGGTCCTTAGCCAGCCAGCAGCTGTCCTTGACCAGTAAGAATTCTTACACTTTTTCTGATGTTGGCATCCACTCTGCGCTGTCTAAAGTTGTTGTGAAACTCCTATCACACTGTGTGACCAGGGTTTGACCTGAACTCTATAAAACTGCTTTTGATGGTTTTCTTCATTTAGGACTGCACTCAGTATTGCAAAGAGAGAAATAATGATAAAATAAAATGGACATGTAGGGGGATTTTTTTGTGTTATTGAATATTCCTTTCCTTTTTGTTTAGTTAAGTCGTGATTACAGTCTGAAGTCAGCAAGGTAAGAATTAGAAGCTTTCTGTATTGCCTGTGCTGGGTGCTCCTGCTTTCCAGGGAAGGATCTTTGTAACTGAAGGAATGAGATGACATTTTTGAAGGAGGTGAATGCAAGTAGCAATGAGCTATGCAAATGTTCTGATTTTTTTTTTTTCCTGTTATTGTTTTACTATAATGTAGCACAAGATGTTTACTACCACATCAGACATAAAGTAAAACTGGCTGTTGGTAGCTCAATTTTCTGCAGTCTCTTTTGTACCATCTTGAAGAATGATCAGAAAATAGAGTGCAAATTGATGAGCTGAGTATATGGTGTATTGGTTATAGTATTGAGTAATTTCTTGCAAAGCAGTTCAGTGGCCAGGAGTCCAGCTTCTGTTTCCTGTTTACCAATAAAGTCAATTAGATTAATTCTGAAATTGCCTTGCAAGTTAAAGGATATTGGCTAAACCTGGCAGGTGGCATTAGAAGATTTCCTGGAAAGATTAGTATAGGGTATTTAAAGTTAGTTTGTACGCAGGTATTATTTTTGGTCAGCAATGCTTCATTAAATCAGTGTTACTTCTGACTTAAGCAAAACAATTTTGTGCCTAAAAGGATGATAAATAGTACAGCTGTGATTTTCCTTGAAGATTAAAAACTAGAGTATCAGTTCAGGTATCTGTTTTATTTGTGCAGCTCTGCCAGCCTCTCTGCTTATCTCTAGTATTGAAATTCAGGTCTGAATACCTTTAAAAATATCTACAGATGAAAGAGCTCATTGTGTCAGCTGTCATCTTCTAAAGCACCATGTTCAGTAGAGTTCTCCTGTATTTGCATCGTTATTGACTTTGCAGTGTTGTTAGTGATGGTAAAATTCTCTGGAAAACTTCCTTAAGGAAAATCCGGTGGAAGAGGGAAACCTGTGAAATTGGGACACCACTGGAACTTTATCCTAACAGTCGAGATCATGGTTTAATTGTAGATCTGTTCTTGGCGTTCCTGGTGTACAGTACTTCTTGCCTTAAGGCTCTGGTAAGAGCCTGTGAGGGATCTGATGTTTTAGAAAGTAACTATGTAAGTGTGTGTGTGCAAGCACCTGTGTTGGAATGGGCAGGAGAAGAGCCTGCTGCGGTAGGAGGGAGGAAAGTGTGAGAGGGGTTGCTTTGAGTAATACTGCTCCAGAAACTTCTTGCCTGTCAAGGTGTGGTGTCAAAGTAAGTGATTATGTATATTTAAAGATGTGAGAGAATACAAATGAGCACTTTTGAAGTTTTTCAAACCTAATTTTCCTAAGGAAGATTAGATTTCCTATTTCTCTATCTGAAGGGGCGTCAGGATGGTCTGAAGCTCCATCATTAATGTTATGCTGCTCAGGCATGCCTGAGCATGCTAAATTGGAGACAGTCAAGGGAGGTGTGGGTTCTTAGAGCACTTAGTCACTCTCCTGTGACAGCTTTTTACATGGAGGGCTGCAGTCACATTTGTCTGTTTGCCACTAATGATAACTCTTTTCCTAGCTGAATTTTAAATTGTGCTTCAGGAGGTGTTCCACAGCCAAGACCTTTAGTGTTGGAATCTGAGTTTAAAGAAATGCTTGTGAAGAACAAAACCACTAAAAGCTTCCTCAGTCTTGTATTTATAAGTTACTGAATGGCTGGCTGCAGGCTGTCTAATTTCAGGAGCAGTGTATGCCAAAGATTCTTCTGAAGTTGTCAATATTATTATTAGGTATTGAGTTGTGAGCCCGAGCAATAAACCTTGATGTGCTCTGGGCAAGCACAGTGAACACAAAGAATGTGATGGGCGTTTCTCCCATCTGTCATATTTATTCTTCAGCGAGGTTCTGTCTCTTGACAGGGGTTGTGTACCACTGTCCTGCTGCTATGGCCAGTAAAAATTCTCACGCACTCACTACATAACCATATGATCATCTTATGGTTGTCATAGATGAACTTTAAGCAGGTGTTTAGCTGATGTTTAACTGGTGATTTTTTGACTCCTAAATAGATAGGTTGGAATAACTGACATTCCTAGACTAGAGCTCTTGCTTTGTCATCATGAAGCTCATGATTCTCCAGCCTGCCAGAGCAGGCAATCTGACTCACGTGTTGTCTGCTTAGGTTGCAATCCTTGTGTTGCAGTTCAAACAAAATGATTAAATAGATCCGAAGCCTCAAATGTGAGAGTTTGGCATTGGTTGCTATATGCTAAGGGGATTAAGCTCACTTAATTTTTATTTGTTTCTGGAGTATGTCTGTGGCGTGTAGGATTGAGCATCTGCTTATTTATACCTTCATTTTTTTCCCCATTGCATTATGCAGTGCTCTCTGTAAATGTGTGGATTGTGTTTGGAATTTTGTTTTACAGATAGCATTCTGCTCAAGAGCAGTTGTGTTACTGAGATTGAACATATTTTTCAAATTTGTTATAGGAATGGTCTGTGTTTAAATAAAAGTGGGTAAGTTAAAGTCTTCTAGCCAACTGTCCATGTCTGTTCTGTCCCATCCCTCTGCAAACCCCAAACAAAAAAACCAAAGCCCTGTAACATCTGCTTCTGTAAATAATGATTTGCAACAGAAAGATGTTAATGTGTAAGGTAATATTAAATAGTGGAGTTATTTTACTATTCTAATTTTTTTTTTTTTGGTTTAGTTTAAGACTGCCTGGTATGAAGCTTGCAATAACCTTTTTAGAGAAAATGTGGAACCTGGTAGTGTCTGTTGATTAAACCTTTCTGTGACTTTTAGATCAGTGGACGGGTGACTTCCTCTGGCCACATGGTGGTTGCTTTCTTTGTGGCTTACATATTTTGTTAGCCTGGATGGGCTTTTGTTTCTGCAAATGTACATAAAATGGTACATTCTCTGATTAACTGAGGAAACTATAAATAATGTAACATCACTGGTGCCTGTGTAAAATGTGAAACTCCCTCAGCTTAATTACAGAAGTGAATCATTCTGGTTTATTATTCCAATTTAAGATGATAAAAGCAGTATTAATAACCAGCTTGTTCAGTGCTGTTTATTTCACTGCAGGAAGTTATTTGTTGGTTGGTATTGTTTATGTAACAGTTTTGCTAATAACCATAGCGGGTCACCAAGCAGAGGTGAGGTGGAAGTTACTTGGTTTTGTTAAAGTGGTGGGGGTTGTAGTAAGAGGAAGAATGATTTTAAAGTAATCTGTAACAAGAGCAGATGGTTAATGGGACAGTGATTGAACAAGACTGGTAGTCTCTTGAGGGAAATACATGTATGTATAAGAATACATTAATGATCATGTTGTTTATTTATGAGTTTATTTAGCTATTGTGAATTGTTAGGGAAATTAAGTTGCACTGATAAATTTGTCATGACTTAAAGTATATATAGAACAGTATTTAATAGCCATACTTTGAACACGCATGTATGTCCTAACAATATACTTTGTGCTTAGTATGTAGTGGAGGTCAAAAGACATTCTAAACATTTGTTCTGTGGCCAAACAGAACTAACTGTGTTTAGAATATAAGAAAATTTAACTTTGTTTTCTTATTTCAGAAAAAAATCCCAGAAGTGGGATGAAATGAACATCATAGCTACATACCACCCAGCAGGCAAAGATTATGGCTTGATGAAAATAGATGAGCCAAGTACTCCTTATCACAGGTAGGCTTGCTAAACTGCTGTCCAAGTGATGCCAGGTGGCATAGTAGTTCTACAGAAAAATAGACTTTTTGGATGATGTAGTATTATTATAGCTGATTGCCTGACAGATTATGCAGGCCTGGGGGATATATGCTACTTACTCAGATTTACAAAGCTTCTAAATAAAGGCTTATAGCAATCAAGGAGAACTGTCAAAAAGGACAAAGTCAATTTTTATAAGGCTTATGTCTATCAGGCTTTAGGTTTTGAATGGAATAAATAAGTCTGACTTGTATTGATTTAAATTTTTTTTTTAGTTAACATCTGTGTACTATAAGACAGTTGTCATATCAATATTGAAGTTAGATTCGGAAAGTTTAAGTATTAAAGGAGCCTTTTAATTGAGTGTTATAGGGTTTTGACTGTGTTATCAAGCAAATTTTAAGCAGCAAATTATTGATAAAGACTACTTTTTTGTTTGCCCTTCCAGTATGGTAGGAGAAGATGATGAGGATGCAGTGAGCGATTCAGAATCAAATGAGCCCTTAAAAGCAGATGTGTTGAGTAAAAAGTAAGTATTATCTTAAAATTTAGTCAATTTTCTATGATGGTTTTCTCTTTCCCGGAGTAGTTTTTCTTTATGGAAAGGTGGTGTTTGTTTCTTCATAAGTCAAACTTTTGCTGTTTTCAAATTAAGTAGTTTTTGGTATTTGGTAGTGCCACTGGTACTTTAAACCTCTTGCAGGTTGTTAGCACGCATAAATACAGCAGAAATTATGAACAAAGCAGTTTGCATGAGTGTTCTGAAATTTCATGTATTTTAAACAGTGGAAGACTTGCTGTTTCAGCATTTTGTATTGCATTATTTATGTAGACTGGCAGCTGCAGCTGAAGGTAAAGGACCCAAGATTTTAGCAAAGCAAGAGGAAAGCAGTGAGGAGGAGGAAGAGGATGAGGAATTAACACCTGAAGAACGAGGTAGGTATGAGTTGTTTTCTTTGCTTGTTTTTCCTACAATTAGTTTCAGATTTTCAGTAAGAAATATTTGTGAAGAAAAAGTACTATCAGAAAATGTTGTGATTTTAAAATGGACATAAATAGTCTTTGAAGGGTAAGTAAAAGACTGGACAAATGAAGTCAAAGACTGGACAAATGGGCTGTTTGTTTCTAATCCAAACTGTTCAGGATCTATATATAAACAGGAATTTCTGTTACTGGTTGTCCCCTTGTATACAAGCTTAAGGTGTGGGAATTTATCTTAAAACTATTCTCAAATAAGGTCTTTGGTTTTGGGGTGAGGGAGTAATGCTTAATCTGAACATATTTCAGGTAGACTTAACAATTCAATGAATACTGCTGCAATTAAGATGCTGAGTGTTGCTTGCAAACATACAGATGATATTTCTGTTGTTGTTCAAAGCAGCTGGTAGATGGATCCATCAGGAAATCTACATTTGTTCTGAAGCAAACTGCATCTTCAGTAGAGATGTTATTTTGTGTTAGCTTGGGCCGGAACATTTTGAGTCAAACAATAACATTTCTAAGGTTTCAGGCTTGTGTTATCTAGCTGTTGTCTCCTATCTTTCCTGGCTCCAACTTTGAGTGTGTAACCTTACTATTCTAAAGGGGAAAAAAAACAGTGTTGGGGCTGCCAGTAAACAAAGTTTAATTATAACGTGTTACTGCTAGACCCACGAATGTTTAATATATGGAGCAAAGTTAGGCTTCAGGCCGTGGGGAAAGTGGAAAATATTTTCTTCTACATGTGGTAAATATATCTCTCATAACTGGCTTTTGGTAGCTAGCCAGGAGTCAAGTCAAACATCTGCAAAAGTTCATCTCCTATCCCACCAGAATATTTCAGTTTTTACTTAGAAACAAGGCTTGTGAAACTTTAGAGTTTCATATGCTGTTACTAGATCATCTCTTTGTTCAGACTTGTTCTTACTTTTCTTCCTTTCAAAAGCGCTTTAGCCATTCTAGTCCATTAATTACTAGCCTTTTTGTAAGTCAGACTCATTTAAAACTCCACTCCACTGCTTGAAGAAAATAATTTTAATTCAGTGATTGCTTGATTATGTAATCAATGTACTTTCAAGGTAGTAATAAATTTGACCTAGGAAATACTAGCGCCTCTCTGAAGAGGAAATAAGTTGATTTTTTTTAAAAGGGAAGAAATAAATATTTGCATTTTTTGTCCACAGAGAAAAAGAAACAGTTTGAAATGAAGAGAAAAATGCACTACAATGAAGGACGGAACATCAAACTGGCAAGACAGCTAATTGCAAAAGAACTGCATGGTGAAGAAGAGGATGATGATGAGGATGAAGAGATGCATGATGCTGCAGATGTAGAAACAATGAATACAGAATCTACTGAACATGGTGAGCTACTGATTAATTAAAAAAAGCATGTTTAAGACTGATGGTCCTTTGAGCTGTTGGGAAATGAATACACTCAAGTGTGAGAATGAATAGAAAGGGTACAGTATGTCTGTAACAGTGTGCAGTACTGCATGTTGGCTTGATAGGTAGAGTTGTAGCAGATAGGTACCAAAACCATCAGTATTTCTGATAGCAAATAGCATGTGGGCTTTTGTTGTGACATAACAGAAAATCAAACCCCTCTGCTTCATAGTATTTCCCCAGCATAACTGACTCTTGGTGGTAAAGTTGCCAGCATCCCTTTTAAAGGAACAGTTGTCTTGTACAGAACACTGGAAGCTGCAGCCACACAGGAGAGCCTGGCCTTATGTTGGGGTTCAGTTCTCATTCTGCTCCCAAACCAACCTGTAGCCAGCCATGGGAACCTAGCGTGAATGCTTCCTCCCTGTTGAGAGGAGTGTATCTGACTTCCTAAGGAAGAACTTCTGCCTCTTTTACTGTAATGTAGAACTGCTGTTAGGACTTGTCCTTAAGCAGTAATGTTTATTTCTATAGCAATGGGAAAAGGACCTCAGTGTTGCTTTTAGTGCAGCTACTGGAAGAAAGTCTGGGACTTTTACCTGGGAGCTGTTTCTGAAACTTGCTTCAGGGCTCTCTCTTGATAGGAAACTCATACAACTATAGAGGCTAACACTTTCTCTTTCATCCTAAAGCTTTTCTCTGGGTAAAAAGGGTAGAATGTATAATAAGTCTTTTGATTTTTTTGGTGGCCTTCTGGTGAATAATTACAGCTGTTCACTACCCACCTGTGTGTAACAGCACTTTGAACAAGTTTTTGGCATTAAAAAAAAATTAGATATCTGTTGTTCATGAGACTAGTGGCAATGAAGCCTGTAAGCCTCATTCATCTGTTGCCTGGCAAAGCTGTGAGATATTATTACAGTCTGCAGACTTGGGAAGATGCTGCATGGGTTTAACTTGGTTCACATTTGCTTCTCAAACCATGTGAACTAGAAATTCTAAAATTACTTTAAATTCCACACAATAAAAAGGTGACTTGCAAAGCTGTGTATTTTTTTAAGTTCTGTGGATTGCACATTTTAGTCCCATTATTTATTACAGGAGGACTAACTCCTTCGTAATTTCTCTAAAAGGGTCATTTGGTATGTGTCTGAGACCCATTAATGGATTGACTTATCCAGCAAATTAACGTATGCCTTATAATGGCTATTTACTAGACCTTCACTCTCCAGGGGAAAGGAGGGCTCCAATAGGCAACCTTATGACCTTTCTCCATGGCTTGAAGCTGCCATCTCTCTGCACTCTGCTGTAAAACAGAGGCAACTCCGCTCCCCAGCTGCATTCGCCAGTGGAAAGAAGGCACACCTTTGCAGCATTTTTCCATCTCTAGTGTTGAAGTCCATTCCACCTTGCCTCATAACCAGCTTCAGAGCCACAACTGGTAATTATCAATTTTAGACTGCTCATGGCCAATAGATTCCATAAACATAACTGCAAGTTTATCAACCCATCAACTAACTGGTTCACCTCCACACCATGACATACTGAAATACTTTCCGTTAACTTGATGTAGTTCTGACTTTTGTTTTGTATCATTCTGCTTAAACCTTGATGTTTCATTATCACTTAATTTCTCTATCAACTGTCATAGCTTTTGGTCTCTCTACTTGATCAGTTCTTCTGAAATTAAGTACTTGTCTCCCTTTTGTAGCAGCAGGTGGATTGAATGCCCTCAGACTGATCAAGTGTGATTCTTTGTGGCAGTGTTGGTCAAAGGATGATGGAATATGGACAAAACTATTAATAAACCTGTCTTCTGCCATTGTCCATGTCTTAAGGAATTCCTACAGTGAGATGATGAATGTTCAGCAACATAGCTGTGTTAAAGTAATGTCAAAGTTTTACTGAAGTAACTTTTTGAGATGACATCTCTTGATCACTCTCTCATCTGTATTTTGAGGGCACAGAAGAATCTCCTTATTCATAAATGTTAGTTAAACAGATATTAGGGCTACAGAATGTTTCTCAGCTCGTTTTAACACTCGCTACTCAAGTGTCTTCCTAGTCTGTGCTTTTGGTCCTATTAAGCAATTGGGTATTTAAAACAGTATTTCAGTTTGGTTGTTTCCTTCACAGAAGTGGATCAAAATACTATCAATATTCTTGTTAGTGAGATTTCCCTGTTAGGACTGTAAAACTGTGGAAAGATTTTTCATCTGGATAGCTTTCGAAGAGCTCTTCAACTTCAAATTATTGTGTTTTAGAGTGCTTTCTTAGAAAGCAAAAAAGAGGGGTTTCTTAGAGTATTGGGTGATGTAGGAGCTGATTTCTGTGATAGCTTATTTTGGCTTCACTCTGTTAAACTGACTTAAGAGCTCTGATGTTTGCTTTTAACTGCATAGGAAATAGCTGTCGTGCTCTGTTATATTGTAGCTACATTTTGATAATTTCTTCCATTCAACTTCAGTTCTTCCGAAGTAATAGAGTTCATCTGGTGATGTGGCTGCCACTCACCTACTATGTCTGAGACAGTACTTAAGTGAGAGCTGGCATGCAGCGTCTTTTTATTTCAGAGGAATAACATGACTTCTGTAGTACTGATCATCATTCCGGGTAAAGATGGCACATAAGAGGCATTTATTAGTGGTCCGTTGTGATTCTAGGGCTCCACTGGCTCCTGGGTTGTTTTTCAGGCAATTTGAGACCTTCTTACTTGTAATTTTTTTTGTCCTTCAAGGCTCTGTGATTATTTTTTTTCTTATCCAATGTTCCTTTCTACCCTCTAATCATGTCTGTTTTGTTTTTGAGCAAAACTAACAGTACTATTCTAATCTCTACGCTCACCTTTTGAAGAAGGGGCTAGTCTTAGGACAGGTTTTTAAGGCGGCTTCGGTCAGATACCACCAGGTCTGCTAATATAAGTTGCACTTCTTGGTTACAGACTGAGATTTCTTGCTGATTGAAGTGAAGATGGCCAGTCCAATCAGTAATGGTGAGAACTGTTTGTGTATTTTTGCCCCCGTCTTCATTGTGGGCTACCAAGTGTTTTAAATGAATGGGTCATTCCCTTCTTGCCTCAAATAGCTGTACCTTATTGCATGCGTATGGATTCTAGCAGCCAAGTGTTTTGGTGGAAAAGAAAGTTAAAGTTGTAATATTCTACATTAGGATTGCTTATTTCAGGTTCTCTGGAATTTCTCTGGTTACTCCCTATTTATGACTCCACAAATGACATAAATGCCAGCAAAAGTGACCTTTGTTCCTCTCCATAAGCATTTTTCCTTTAGAAATTCTCTTTGAAATCACTGAAGGCAAGATGTAGGTAGATTTTAAGCACAATGATTTCAGTGCAGACCTGTCTTTACTTCTGCTACACAAAAGTATCAGATACAAGGGTGTGATCTATAGCAGTTTAATTGACAAGCAGTAAAACTATTGTTCTCTCCTTATGGTTCATTTGGCATCCATTGCTGTCAGAACCCTGCTCAGAGGCTGCTCATCAGTTTAGCTGTCAGCTGACTGGGTGTGCCCTCCTGGCCTTTGGTAGACCCAGAATACACCATGTTTCCTTAGCCACGTTGAGTGTCACCCTAAGGATGACTTCAGTGAGAAGGCTGGGAGCATACACAAATTGGTTCTGCTTGTTAGCTATGTTGTTCACTTGTTAAACTGCACTTGTTACCAAGTCTAACTCCTGCCCAAGCCTAAGTGGCCTTTTTTAAAGATGATTATAATCTGGACGTGGTTTCCTTTGAACTTTGCTTTATGCCATTGAATTTTCAGGTGCATATACACACACACAAATATATATATATATATATACACACACACACACAGTGGGCTTCTTATATGAAAAGCATTACAGAGAAGGAGCTTTCTCTAATTTTTTACTGTTCTTTGGCTCAAAACCATGAGTTTAATGACTTCCTGAAAAACACAGCAGACTGCTCCTACATTTATAAGCTTGTTGGTTTAAAGTGTCTCATCTGGAGTTGAAATTTGACCCAAGAAGTAGTATGCTTGCTTGTGTTTCTTGTATGGAAATAGGAATCTTGTATGTTAGTTCTGCAAATTGAGCTCTCAACTCTTAGGTTAAATCCTCACAGTTCCGGGGGTGGTGAGCATTCAGTGCTTGGTAGGCTGAACAGTGGTGTTAGCCATTTCTTCAGAATGTGAGGGTGAAATAACTATTTCAGAAGTTTCTGCACTCTCAAACTAAAAGCTTGTATGTTGCTGAGATGGCTTGGCGAACATTACCTTTGGAGAAGCAAAGATGATTTCAGGAGGATACTTGTGTGTGTTTTGAAAATATTCAATGAGTGTGAAGAATTAAGAATATTTTTTGTAATCTTTCTCATGCAGCACACGCTACTCGTGACCAGCTGGGAAGTAGAGTACACCATATAGAAGAAATCTGTCCAGAACTGTAACTGCTTGTCAAAGACACAAATATAAACATCACTTCATGATTTTTGCAATTAAGGCTCTTAAATATTGAGAATCATATCAGTTACAATGTTGTATTGCCAAGAATGTTAATTTTAGACTTGTCCATTAGGCAGAAAAACCTGTCTAATTGATTATTCTTGTGCCTAGTATTTCATGGAGAATACTGCTTCATAATCTGTTCAACCAGAATGGCATTCCCTGTATGTGTAACGCTGATTATCTTGCGTAACGTACTGTTACTCTTCATGCTTTGAAATAGAAGCTTTTGGTTTTTTCACTATTTATTTGACAGTGTTCTAGGTGTGGTATCTCCTATGGAAAGGTTTGGGATTCAAGGGCCAAACGGTACGGCATATATCTGATTGACATGCAAGCTATTTATCAATGTATTAAGCAGTTTAAAAAGGGATTATTTAAGTCTTACAACTTTTTTGTAAAATGTTGACCCGTTAATCTAGATTTCAGTACATTATGACCTGTACTTTCACAGTCTTTACAAGAAGAACTGTCTTATTTTTTAAGAGTGGTGTTTGAAATCAGTTATTTCTAAGGCAGTACAAACACCTGGTGGAGGGAATGTTTTTACACTGGAAATGTGCTAACTTGAACTTTGCATTTAACTGTCATTATCTCATCTATTGGGACTGGATGTTTTGTGAAGCTCTCTTTGGCTTATCATGAGAACATAGAAGTTCCTTCCAACTTTTCTCTTAATCACATCCACTGTCACTCTTCTGGCTCTTGTCTCAAATTTGTGGTCCTTTCCAGTTGTGTGAAGAGTGCTTGTGCTACTAGCACCTGAGGAAAAACACTCAGCTATGCGCAAATCCCCATCAGGACTGTGAAGATGAGCTGAGTTTTAAGCTCTGGCTGTTCTTTATATAAGGTAACTGCTGATGATCTATTATTTGGGGTTGGTGGCCTGCATACTGAAAACCACTGGTCTAAATCTTCCTGTATCCATTGCAACTTACAGCAGCTGCTTTTGTAAAATGAAGGCTGTTTGGAAGAACAGAAGGGAAACTGCCTAATTCAAATACTTGTTTACAGCGTGGTTGTATAAGCCCCTGTAAAGAGGGATTCTGAACCTCCAAACTGCTGTAAACAACTTCCTGCTTGGTAGAATTTGACTGGTGAATGTTCCACTATTCAGAGTAGTTCCTGGGTTTTATTACACAAATGAAGTATACAGTTAAACTTTAGCTTGGTTATGGAATACAGTGTATATCTTAATTTTGATCTGAATTTGATATGTTGCAAAAATCCATATAGTTATGGATCTATTTTAAAATGTCTTTTTGTCCACTGTATATGTGAAGTTTGAATAAAGGAATGAAAGTTATTTTACAGTTATATGCATTCTCAAGTGTGAGCTTTCATGAAATCCAGAGAGACTGAGAGTGAAGAAGGGAATAGGATGCTGTCTGTGGAAAGATTTATACAGGAATAATTAATTAGAACTGATGCATAGCCAAAGATACCTGTTGAGTTGTGCTAACTGGATGTTGCAGTGTGCCTTTCCCAACTATCTCCTCTCCTTAGTAGGCAACTGGGTTGTCAGTTGTGGGATATTTACTCTTCTAAGAGCCTGAATCAAGATTAATAGCATCTTTTCACAAGAAAGTTGAACTCTTGATTCAGTCCAATGTGGTGATGCTAATTTTTCAATATGGAGAAAGCTATTGTATCAAACATGGTCACTTCTAGAGAATAAACAGGGGCAGAGTAAGCATTTAGATATTCTGACTCCTAAAGTCACTTACTGTAGCTTTAAATTTGCTTCCCAAGAATAGGATTTCAAACCTTAAGGTTTGCACCCGTTATGTACCAGCTTACAGTGTTCAGACTGTTGGAATGTCTGCCCTGACCTGTATTTCCAGCTGACGGCCTGGCCTGCCCCGGGAGGGCAGCTCAGTCCCACTGAGAGCAGCAGCACTCACCAAAGCCCTGTTACTTGCACACGAGCACAACCGGGCCAAGATGTGACCAACGTGTATGGGTAATGCAGACCTCTTCTGCGATGGTGTAAACCAGATTCTTTATCACAAAGTACACGTGGGTACTTGGTACCTGCAATTAAGGCAGAATCCATCAGAAGCAGCTCTTGGATGAGCTGATGGCCTGCCCTCCTTCCCCCCCCCCCCCCCCCCCCCCCCCCCCCCCCCCC